ATAACCTTATAAAAACAAACACGTCATAATCATTATGGTCAATAGTGTTAAAATATAGATATTATTATGCATTTTGTGCATTTTAAAGTCAACTCAAAAAAGCGAATGCCATACAAGACACGCCCACATTTTGCAAGAGATTAGCAGAGAACAAGCTAAAAAAGTGAATTTTCGTACAATGTGGAGTCATTATCAATATTATCACAAGGAACCAAGATCTTTGTGATATGAACGTATATTTTAATTTCCATCAAAATTGGATACAAATTGTGACCTGGATGATCAACAACCTTGGTATTACGTACTTTTAAACTATCTGCGTACAAGAGCGGCAATTTTGTCCAGCAGTTTTGGTCTGATAATCACAAAATTCGAACTCAACCATCCTTAGGGCGTAACAGTGATATATTTGAATTTTTTTTTTTTAAATCGGATAAAAATTGTAATAGGGTCCACAATCTAAAAACGTGATTATCTTTACAATCAGGGGCCATAATTCGGAAAGTTATGGTCCAATATGCACGAATACCAAGATCTCTGGGTTATAAACATACTGTGTCCACAATCTAAAAACATGATTTTTCGTACAATCAGGGACCATAATCCACGAAGCTATGGTCCGATACATGCCAATATCAAAAGAAACCGAGATCTTGGGGGGATAAACCTATGTTTCTGGATGGACAGGGGCGACGACTATTTTTATGTGGACTATGGCAAATACTCTAATTTAGATATTTCACGCAAAATTCATGTTGTGAACTAAAATCCATTTATTGTGAATCTTTTTTTAAAACATGTATTATGGAAGAGTTAAATCTACCTATTGCAAGTCTTTCTTTAGGCCTTAAGTGTTATAAAAACTATTAATAAAATATTTATTTACATGACCAGACCATAATCAACTCTCGATGCCATTTTATGGGTCGGATTTTCAGTACATACATGTAAAAACTGTTCGACAATTTAATGAATTAAGTTAAAAACGGTGAATTGAGGCTCAGCCTCGAACAACCAGTACGGTGATTGCAATCAGTGCACCCATCTTATCAAACCGTCAAAGGCTAATATGTTTTTGAAGTATGGTTGAACTCTACAATTAAAATCAAGTAATTTACTTGTATCACAAATTAACACAAAACTATCAAAATCTACACTAACCATAAAATCTGTATCACTCCCATTAATAGAACATTTAATGTATAGGCCTATCTTCATCATGGTATAGGCCTAGACATATCACCATTTTATAATGGGAGCCACGGTGACTAAGTGAGTAAGACGTTGGCTCGCTAGCCTGGAAGTCGCGGCTCGATCCCGGTGTTGACCGAGAAAGTTCATCAGGATTTTTCGGCAGGGTTTCTCCTTGTCAGTGGTGCAGGATGAAGGGACTGACAAGGACTGTCTAGCCGTTTGGGTGGGATGGAAAACCGAGGTCCTGTGTACACATAGGCGTGCGGGTAAAAGATCCCTTGGCAGTTGGAATTCAATATAAGAGAAAGCCGTCCTGACAAAATTTCTTTCATATTAAGCTGTATGCCAGGGCTGGGGTGATGGTAATGGAATGTAAAGGACGTAATGAGTAATGGGAGATTTCAAAAGTAATGAGTAATAGAATTAATTACGTTCCAAAAATCATGTAATTATTTTTAATATAAGCCTCAAATTTTATAGCACCAAAGAATAAGTGTATCTGACACAAATCAAATTCATTCTAATTTTAAGAAAAAGATTTAAATCAGTTTAGCAAAATAAATAAGAAGGCATTAAACATTTCCTTTTATTAATACTTTCACTTGGATGTATCATATAGGGTTCTTAGACATGTACCTTACTAATTATTACTATCAGCTACGGGAATGATCTGATATTTACCGGTGCAATCTCGTGTTTACTCATTCGAGCGTATACCTCCTTGAAAATACATTTACATTAGTCCAAGAATACTAATTTAACTATAGAACGTACTATGCCAAAAAGTATCCATTTATTTAGCCAAGTACTTGAAGTAGCGATTTTTTTCGGTTCACTGACCACATGACAATTGAATGACACTTCCGACTTATCGGATCACTCATGTCCTAGTTGGCATTATTTATACTTCTGCTTTATTAAAATGTATTTCAATAAGAAAATAATTGATTCCTTTGGAAAATCAAAGTATCTGTATAAAAAATTTTTCAAGATGCATAGAAATTGAGCAGAAGCAGGGATAGTTCTTACGGTAATCAGTCGAGTCGAGTGGAAAAGTGAGCGCAAAGTCATGTGACGTAAACAAGTTCTTTCACGGCGTGAACCTTTTGGGCGGGGTTATAACAGTATCAATCATTTAAGCAATAAAATATCATATATAGGCCTAACATAAAGATTTTTTTTTTCAATACTTATGTTAAATATCACATAGAAGGTTTAGTACTTTAGAAACATCGGACCCGCCATCGCCGATACAGTGTCAGTAGTACTAGTACCGAGTAGAAATTCATCATTCTGGCGTCTTAAATACCGATTTGTCTGGCTGAATTCAGGAGTCGTGCAACATGGGCAGCGGGTCTAGACTTTGTGACATTTTTCAAACTTTTTAGTTAATATTAATACGAAATGACGAAATTGTCATTCATAAAACTATTCAACAAAAGATGAATTTGACAGATTGGCAAGTCAACAAATCTGTGTTTACATCCTCGTTGCGCATGCCCATGTTACACATCAAGCGCGTGCAAGAGCTTTAAGCCAATGAAATCGTGTATTATCATCTGGAGGTCGGCCATTCGTGGCAACGAAAAGGCCTATGGTTGATCTTGTTAAACTGACTCTGATTCGTTACTGACAAAGAATTTGCCTTTGTTTACTCCAAATATGGAAAGTTAAGTTCACGACCTTTCAAATGACATATGGAGATTAGCATCAAGCACCGCGTGCGTTTTCAAAACATTGGATTACTTTTGCTGATTTTTTCATAGAATAGACGTCATTTCTTGGGCCTTTTTAATCAAGTAGGCTCATAAAATACCCCTAAAACACCATTTAAAGTTTTCAGATCATCAAAATCCTTCTCAAATAACAAAGTTCTTTTGTATTTCTTGATGTTCCAACCTCAATCTCAAAATCGACAATTTGACCAAAATCCATTGTTAACAATGCTTTTGTGCCCGTAGCACAAAATGACGTCGTGCGACAAGCGACTGATATTGTGGGAGCGACTCACATATATCATTTGTGTGTGAATTACCACTGTTCGGTTGGTTGTGTCATATTATTTATTAATACTGACAGACTGATGGATGGACAGGGCGACAACAATATACAACCACATTTCAATGTGCGGGTATAAAAATAGTCTTTGCTTTATTTACTCTCTGTATTCCCGTGGTTATTCAAATTGGAGCTGACTGCTGGGTATTTATAAATGACGACATTACATTCGCCTTTCTGTATGATAGATTAAGGTCCATATTTTTATTTCATTAAATGTAACTTTATATATATGGTACGCAATACAAAAGACGTATAAGAGAAACATAGATCATAGCTAGCACACACGCCTTTCTAAAGACCTGTCTTTAATTATACAAAGACCTGCGTAAAACACACAGTTGACTGATAAATGGCACAGTTAAACAGTTTTACTTCCAAAATTTTGATTTAACATGTATGTGTCAAATAAAGCCTGTTGGTCCTTGATTATAGTCCTTTTGGTGCAGGAATGAAATGAAATGAAATGGGGTTTAACGTCCTACTGTTTTGTTCCTAAACTGGGCTAATGAAGACGGGCATACGCCATACAGTGTGCTATGAGGGAAATTTTGCCCGGGCAGCAGCACTACGGCCTACCCTTATATCGAATTCCAACCGCCAAGGGATCTTTTATGTGCACGCCAATTTGTACACGGGACCTCGGTTTTTCATCCCATCCGAATGACTAGACAGCTGTCCTTGTCAGGCCCTCCGTCCTGCATCACTGACAAGGGGGGAAACCACGCCGGAAAATCTGGATGAACTTTCTCAGCTAATGCAGGGATCCAACACCCGACCTCCAGACTAGCGAGCCAGCGTCTTACCCTCTTAGCCATGTGATCACCCCCTTTTGGTGCAGTTATTGCAACACGTCAATTAAACAATGCACAACATTGACATTCATTTTTTACCGGTCGGTTAATTAAAACACCACTACAGAAAACGCAATTTTTCACCCCTAGCATTAATTAACTCACCTCTTAGATAGTTTCTCACACTTGTTAATTAACGCACATTATTTACAATTTAACTCGGTAATGCCGAGTAATAATCGGGAAATTAATTTTCTTTAAATAGAAGTACAAATAACACTCCAGACCGAGATTTATATAAGGTCTATGCACAGATTAACCCCTTAGTAGTTCTCAGTGACAGCATCCACAAGATTTTTCAAAGTGATCAAGGCCCATAACTCTTGCAGTAATTATTGTAAATCGTTGAAAATCGATAGGCTTCTTCAGCTGATGACCTTAAACATTGTGTATAAATTTAAAGTCAATCGGATATTAACTTTAGCATCTACAGCGTTCACAAGATTTTTGAAAATGATCAAGGGCCATAACTCTGGCAGTAATTATTGAAAATCATTGAAAATTGATAGGCTTTTTCGTCTCATGACGATATTATCTTTATCCTCTAGAGTATCCACAAACAATTGTGGATGCCGGACCGCCGGACGGGGGCGACGACAATATACTACCACATTTCGATGTGGTTAAAAACAAAGTCGTGGGTATCACAAAACCATCTTTTATAGTATTCCTGCTACTGGTGTCACCGTATCAAGTTTATTATGACTTAGATCCCATCTAAGTTTATGTTATTCAAATGGTTTTGGATTCCTCTCTCTTTATATATTTGGATTCACATTTCGATGTGGGCGTATGAAAATGAGATCGGTTGTAGAATTTTAAAACAATTTTAGCACAATGATAGCTATTCGTTCAGTACAGTAAGACTCTGATGTCAAATAAAACATATCTTACCTTCATTAACACTGATTCACTGAGCTTTTCTCGATTGACAATCTTGATGGCAACACGTCTTCCCGTAACACAATGGACACCTAATTTTACCAGACCTGTAATGAGAAAACACACAATAATAAGCCTTTTCATGTTATCTGAAGTAGTTAATGAATACGTTATAAGTAATTGAAATAAAGTGTATGATTTAAAGCATCCTTGGTATTGCCAGTGGCATCGTTTTGTTCTATTCCACTAACATTGATGACTTCATTGGCCGTGTAGGTTGATTCTACGAATCAATCAAACAAGCAGTTGCCATGTAAGATATATCCACATTTTGCAAGAGATGGACAGTGGACAATCTAACAAAAAAAAAATCTTTCGAACAATCAGGGGCCATAGACAAGCAAAAATATCAACAGGAATCAAGATCTTTGGGATATAAAAATACATTTAAAGTTTCATCAAAATTGTGACAGCTAGAGGGTCCACAACAATAGTATTACCGTATTTTTCGGTGTATAAGGCGCATGCGTAGATAAGGCGCAGGGCGACTTTGGCAGAGGTGTTTCAGGAAAAAAAAAATATGCGTGGTTTAGGCGCACCCTTTCCCAGCGCGTGTGAAACTCGTGCCATAGCATATGTGACTCAAATCCACCTGCGATCTCCAGTAACTAGGTCAAACTCTATTGTTTACATTATTAGGCTCTCGAATTTCAAAAGTAAAAACGTCACTCTCTGCATTCCACAAAATGCCTAAAGTCTTTAGTGAAAGTAAACTGTTATCTTCAAGATCACCCACACGGTCTTGAATTGGTATTTCGTCTAATACCCTAGGGTCATTACATAACCATTTACGAATCTGGAACCCTGCACTTTGTAATACTGCAGATATTTCCCGGCGCAACTCTATGGCTGTAGATACTTCATCAACACTATCTAATAAATCATTGATGTACATTGAGTTAAGAACGGAGTTAGCACCAGCTGGATATTTATCAATGTTCAATGTACAATGTTCTCTAACAACAGCTTGTGATAAATATGGCGATGAAGACTTGCCAAATACTAATCGCTTATATTGATATACATGTATTTTTTAAAGGCGCATCTGGAACTAAGTCTCTCCATAAAAATTTATGGAACTTCCGGTCTTCCGGTTTAATCTTAATTTGTAGGAACATTTCGGTTATATCTGCGGCTATAGCGATAGGACTTTTGCGAAAGCAAAGCAAGACATCAAACAAGTCTCTTTGAAGTTTGGGCCCTGGGTATATACAATCATTCAAGGACTTTCCTTGACAGCGAGCGGCAGCGTCCATTACAACTCTGACTTTAGTTGTAGACTTATCCATACGAACAACCGCGAAGTGTGGTAAGTACCACGATGATGCCTGGGTATCAATGGGCGAAACTTCTTCGATGTAGTTATTCTCTAAATGATCATTCACGATTCGTTGATATTCTTGAGCTATTAGCGGACACCTAATTAATGATTTCTCCAAGTTGATGAGTCGCGATTTGGCGATAGCATAAATTGATTCGAGTTGAGGCTCGTTAGGTCTCCACGGAATACCCACGGTATATCGAGAAGCGTTTGTATCGAAAGTTAAAGAATCCTTGGTTGAATCAATTGCTGCTTGTTCCGACTTGGAATGAGACTTAGCATTGGGCGCGACCCCGGACGATTCTAATTCCCACATGCTTCGAAGTAATGTGTCTACATGTGGCTCTTGGTTATCACTTATAAAATATGTACGAGCGAAATGAATTGTTCTATTTCCACGATTAAAGTCATTCGATGAACTTACTGGGCCTACAAATGTCCACCCTAACGGCGTGAGTCTTGTGATTGGCTCACCCGGACGACCTGCGATTTCTGTAATTGAACGATGAACTTGAGATGCATTAAGACCGATTAATAAATCAACTTCTGGTCGATGACCGGATACTCTTGGAAACGGAATGCCTTGAAGATGAGGCCAGTTATTCGAGTGTTTCAACCAATTGACTATTTTCATATCTCCAGTGACGTTTGATACTGTAAAAACCGCCGGGTTGAAAATGCAACCTATTGTCGATACTACTACTCTGTCCTTTTTCCCCCCTAAAACACTGACATTCAGTTGTGTTAAGTTTCCCCGAAGTCCTAATTCGTTAATGTAGCTATCGGTTGAACATTCATCCAACAATGCGTTGCATAACTGGAATAATACGCATAGCTATTCTGTCGTGTTCGTTAAATTGTGTATGAGTATGCGCGGTTTGATAATGACAACGTGCATCGTCCGTATTTTGCTTGCTGGGTAGTTTCACCGAAGTGGCTCTGTCTTGTACAAACGATGATTGTTGTGCATTCTCATATTCTTGTGGAGCGTTATTTTTGTAGTATCCCTCTCCATGCAATAAAAAGTGATGGTTCTTGGGACATCTGTCGGCAGCACATATCTTTGAATTAAGACACTTCCAACCTGAATGCGTAAGACTTAGACATCTAAAACATAGTCGTCTCTCTTTAGCTCAATTCCACCGCTGATGTACGGTGAACGATTTAAACATCTGACAGTTATTAAGACCAAGGGTATGATTCTGATCGCATACGATACAACAATTACGACGAGGAGTTTTGAACCGACTGGAATCCGAGCTCTACTGTTTGGCTGAGGATATTTCGTTCTACAATTATATGACGGCGAATACGATGACGAAGAAGCTCTATTGCCCGACTGAAAACCATCTATCTCTTCCTGTGCTTCGATGCGATATCTAATTTCTCCCGCTAACCATGTGTGTAGATTCATTAAAGTTTCTTCTTTTTTCTCTAAAGCGGCCCATCGTTTGAATTGGGTTACGTTTACAGGTGAAAGTTTCAATCTTGCTACATAGAAAAACATTGAATTTGTTTCAAATTCTTCCGTTCGACCATTCTCTTGAAGTGCGATTATACTAAGTTCTAATTTCTCAACAAAATTTTCAAAGTTCTTCAAATCATTAAAATTAACTGTATGCATTTGACGAATTGTGTCCAAATGTATCAATACTGAGCGACGTTGACCTCCAAATTTGTCATCTAAACGTTTGACGGCTGCATCATATCCGATTTCTGAAGCTGCAAATCATTCTATGGCTTTTATGGCATCTCCCTCTAGATGTTAGCGTAGCTGTAGCATTTTGTATGATTTCGAACACGAAAATTTGTCTATACATTCTGTGAAAGCGTCTTTAAAAAGTTAGTAATCTAGCTTTGAATCAGTAAATTTGGGGATCAAAACTTTATTGACGAAAAAGGTCTTCCTTATTATTTTTATTCGCCGAAGAACTATTTTCAAGCGATGGTTGAACCGATGTATTTATATGATCTGCTGGATGCGACGATGCTTGTTCTTGTTGCGGTGACGATGGCAGTTGATCTGATGATGGCATGCCATTATTAATTTCGAGCTCTGTCGCAGCCTCCCTTGACTGTGCGTAAGTCGATCGTGTAATGGCTAAGGACTGTGTGGCCTGCATAACTAATTCACTAATTTGTTTATGGTCTTCTACGTGTTCCAATTCTGAATCGAAACCATCACTATCTATACTAGTAAGTTCTGTTAACACACCAATTGCCACCTCTTGACTAGCCATTAAAAATCGCAATGCATATCTTATGTCGTCTTCGTTTATGTCATACACATTGCATGCTAAAGCCAAAGTTAAATTTATTCGCGCCTTTGCCAACTGACTGTTGACTGTTCGTCTCTTTTTCAGAAGTGCTGTTAATATTTCGTCTTCGTTGGGTTTATTTGTATTCTTCGAATCTGCCATTTCTGAATTTGATTGTTTACACTAATTAAGTTCAAATAAGCACATATGATAATCGAGTCTATAACAACGCACGAAATGAAAATAGTGTACTTACAGTTCTAATAAGTCCTATATAAAACCACGCTCTGCTACCAAAACATGTTCCGAATACTGAACACAAAAGTTATTAGAGGATCTATTTATTTTTCGATGAACAACATAAAAGTACACAGCTATTTATTTTCTATCTATACATTATACTATAACTATAAGCGCGAAAAAACAATCAACTATATCCTCCTATTCCCCAGGCCCTTTCTCTCCCCTTCCCTATTCCAGGCAGCTAAAAAATTGTCACCCCTGGCTGTTGCCACGACTACATCACGTACAAAAGAGATATTAACATTTTTTAGATAAACTCTGCAATGGATATACATTCTGAACACTAGTATATTAGAGGAAGATTGTAGATTGTGAGTAGTTGACCACGGGAAGGCAGCAGGACAGACTGAAGGGCAGGTCTCTTATAAGTTATTTCTTAGATGCTGTTCCTTATTAAGTTACCTAGCCTGTGGGTCATTATTGTATATATATTATTATTGTTCAAGTATTGTTACAGAATATAAGATTATACCCCCAACTAGATTGAACATACAACCCATTGTGGAAGGTTGGACTTTAAGCAGGTCCATAAACCCCGAATGATATATGGGGAGTGCCAATTGAGCAACGGAATCTCACAAGCCAAGCAAGTGTTTTTCTTTATGTCTACACCCTAGAAAAGAAAGCTGATATTTTACTTATTTTTTTATTTTATTTTCGACTAAACAAGGAATGATGGAGAGTTGTAAAAACCATGCTACATATTTACAAAAATTCTCAGGTTATGAACAAAAGGATCCTATACTATGGCTAGATTTATTTGAAACTTATTGTGTTTTTCAAAACTGGGAAGAGGACAAATATAAAGTAGCAGGTCTTAGATTAGCTATGAAAGATAATGCTGCTGTATGGTTAAAATGTCTGCCAGAAGAAACAAGAAGCGACTATAAATCAGTGAAAAGTGCTTTTAGAGAACAATACTGTACAGAAGTGGATAATGGTAAAGAAGTGGTTAGGCTTATTACAAAGAGAAAACAACAACCAGGAGAATCTGTGGATGATTACCCTAAAGAAATGAAAAGACTTCTTTTAATGAGAAATACAAGATAGGTTGCCAGGCAATGAAACATATGCCCACAGCAGCTAAATTGTCCGGGCAGTCAACAAGAGTTGTCGCTTATTTTTACTTTTTTCGGTAATGAAACATTTATAATACATTAAAATC